ACTTTGCTTATTTGATAATAGTGTGTTTAAAGAAAGACATTAAAAAGATTATTGTGATGATTCTATTCAAATCTACACTGAATTTTTTTAGTCTTTTCTTCCTTTGACATTGCGACCCAAAAAGCAGCCACAAGAGTCTATGATGAAGTAAATGCCAGGTACAGTTTATCAAGCAACCAAAATATCCAGATTTTATTATTATTATTTTTTTTTGCATTAACAGAACTTTTAAATATAAACAAAACCGAAATTCATTAGGACTCTTATTATGAAATGTCTATGCTTCCAGCTGCTCACTCAAAAAGATGGAGATAAAATATACCTTCTGACAATCATCTACAACTAATTACAATATAATTAGATATGGTAAGATATGGTACTCGCGGTAAATCGTAGAAAAAAAAAAGGAAGAGATTTAGACAAAAAAAAAAAAACTAACTGTGTTGAGCTATAGAACAATGAATAGTTTTCTGCCGATGAATAACAGTTGCTCACACATCTAAAAAACATATATATTAAAACATATATATTAAAGCATCTTTGGTGTTTCCATGGTTGACCACAAAATAGCAAAAATCGAGGGTAACGCAGGTATGACACGGTTCATGTCCTGCTTATTTCTCTGGATTTAAACTTTCTTAGAAACATTTAGGATAATATAAGTACACAAATCAACAAAATACATAACATTGTTCTAATTTTGATCCAAAGAAATCGTACTTTAAGACTTAAGGACCGAGTGAAACCCAGTAAACATTCTTAAACACGCTCATATACAAATAACATTTCGGCTCCAGTTCAGTACCTCTTTATAGCTGACGATCTCGGTTTCAAAGTCCCTGTTGTATTTGCGGATCTTCTGGCGCAGTGTGCTCAAGGCTTTGGCGTTGTTTTTGTTCATCTTCTTCTTCCCCTCCTTGTCCTCCCATAGCTATAATGAAAGCAAACTCTGTTGAATGCTCATGAAGAAGCAATTAAAGGGATAGTTCACCCAAAAATCATTTACTCATCCTCAAGTTGTCCCAAACCTGTATGAGTTTCTTTCTTCTGCTGAACACAAAAGATGATATTTTGAAGAATGTCTGTAGCCAAACAGTATATCGAGGCTATGGAAGTCAATGGAGCGCATCAACTTTTTGGTTACCAAAAATTCTTTAAAATATCTTCCTTAGTGTTCAGCAGAAGAAAGAAATGTATAAAGCTTTGGAAGTAAATAACAACATAAATGTAATCTTTTGGCAAACGATGCCTTTAACCATGTGACTTTGGATTTCCTGCTGGCTCCTGATCTACAGACCTGGTTGAGATAGTCCTCCAGATCAGCTAGCAGCCGGATGTAGAACTGCGGCACACCCTCTTTGTCCACGATGGCTTTGCTTTTGATGAACGCCCGACACAACTGCTCAAACTCCTCCAGACATTTGGATATGTCTCGGATCTTCATGGCATTGCGGATCGTCTTGATGAAGTTGGTGAGCTCCTCAAACCTGAAGGGCAACGGACAGCGATGCGTTTATAACTGAGGTCAGTGTGAGCGCTCCTTAATTCTCAAGTCCCGACGTTTTACGTTTGGCATCCCACACTCACCTCTTGTCCTTGGCACTGCGCACCACTCTTTTGGTGTCCTCCTCATCATCGCTCAGCAACAGGGACCTAAAGAGACACCAGCAGAGTCACTACTGCGTCACAACTGATGACATCATCACATAACGACACACCCTTGTCACATTTCCTTGCTTTTCAGACCAGGAGACAGGAGAGTACGACAAACTTGATTTTTCAATGCTATTTGCCCATTGTGATGAAAACATTCCATGATTGCGCATTAGAAGTCGACCAATGTATTGTTTTTTACCGATTAATCGGCACCAATAACAGTTGCGTTGTGGATATATCAGCAATGGTTTTTAATATATCCAATGAAGACAATTACTTTGTTTATAAATAATTTTGGTACTTTAGAATTGTCAAAGTTTGATTGTTTTTATTGGAAATTTGTAAAATATAACAATTTATACAAAAAAAAAAAGGTCAACATGATTTACTTTAATGGTGTGAAATTATAGTGAATAATTATGTAATATGCAAATACAATTTCCCTGATTTGAAAAGCAAAATGTGGCTAAAATGTATATGGCACAATTATAGCCGTTCTCTCAAGAAATGAATAGATTGAATAACCGCAATCAGAAAATTAATCAACTAAGAAACCAAAATCATCCGTATTATCACAAGTATCAAAAATTATGATAACTTTTAATGCATTTTAATTTATTTTCATGTGCCACATTATCTCAATATATGTTTTAAATGCCAATTTTTATTTATTAAATAATAAAATAGTCAAGAGGTCAGCAGTGATAAACATTAGACAATGTTTTGTATTTTAATTTACTTTTGGTAATTACAAAACATTCTTAAAGTTAAGTCAACACCACAGTTCATTTTCCAATAAAGTTAAGCACTATCTAATAATATTAAGAGATTTGTTTTATTTATTTACTCATATTTATTTTCAAATCTACCAGCCGAACAATTGGTTATCTGACATATTTTACCATTTTAGTTACTGGCAAAATCAAAAACAGACAATCTGTAGTTCCCACAACTTTACAAAGAGAAAAAAAAATGGAAGCAGTCAAATCTCAGTTGTTGTTTCAGAAACATGTTTGCATGCAAAGCAAAATAATAACAATAATAATACATATGTATATAGTTTGCAGTGTGGTGTGTGAAACGCAGACTCACTGCTTGTTGAAAGCAGTCCCAGTGGCTTTGGGGGTGATCTCATCGGCAGACGAGGATTCCTCCGACTCACTGTCGGATTTAGCGAAGAAACGGGACATAATAGACGGCTGTTAAAACTGAAATGAGAAATACAGATATGAGAGCGGTCAATACTTTCTCAAACCCACCAGGCTTTGTTTAGAAGCAAGTAGGCTAACTCTATAATGAAGCCTACAGTATCATATTTGATACATGAATTACAAAGGGCTCTAAATGATCAAAACCATCAAAATGATGGTGGAAAACCTGTATGCCTTATTTAATCTGAATGATATTTTATACAAATAAAAGGCCTTTTAGTATAATTGTAAACATGTCTTTCTGCTCGGAAATCTTGACTGATTTTTCTAAAGTAAATGAAAGAATAACTTTTAATCTTTTATATTGTAATTAGAACTTGACTTTTTTTCTTTTTTACATACATGCATCAAATTTGAGCCATTAGGCTTTTGAGGAAGGTTTATTTGCACGTGATCTCATGAATCCTTGTATTGCATTGTATAATAAAACTTAAAACTACAGAGCTTTGATCATATAATAAACTAAGGATTTAAATATAATCTTACCAAGACATATTGTTGACAGATATAGTGACTGACGACTGAAATGTAACGTTAAATGCATTTTATGCAAGTAACGTTAGTTTGTTAAGTTGTACACTTATTTGACCTATACATTTTCCGAATTTCATCAACTTTTTTGGCCATAGAACTTTACAATATTTTTGCTGTATCATACATTCGAGCCATAAAAGCCTGTGATGTACCAAATATAATACAAAACACATAATGTTACAGACTTACAGTTTCACTTCATTTCAATAATCTGTAATAGAAAATAAATGTATCATACTCCAGGCTTTACAGTTTTCAGGGCCATGCGTTAGAAAATGACTAGGAAGTTTAAAACAAAGTCCTTATGTAGTTACTAAACTAAAAAAAATAGTAAATATTTAAGAAAAACTCTAATCAAGAAACACATCAGATAACACTAACGCTGCTGCTCCATTTGCTGATGAATGAACTTACTAGACTCACCTCACTAGTTCACAGAGAAAAGGCCAAATATATGAGCATTCATGGACATAAACTATAACCATAGGACATTTGGTGGGAATAGAAACATATGTGACGCATAATAAACGATTGCTGACTAGTTACATCAGTACATCGCCGAAAGCGTGCCGACCGCGACCGGCTGTGTGAGGCCTAACGGGACCGTGACTGCATGTGTACGCAAGTCCTACAGACCCGACAGGTAAACTAAATGACAGAACGTACCTGTTATGTGCTGGAAACGTAAGATTCCTCGTTTGTAATTTCCCTTTGTGTAGATTTTAGATCCAGATTTGCAATTTAGTCAGCACAATTGACGGCGTGCGTCAAAGCCCTGTACTTCCAGAGAGAGAGGAAGCGAATCGATAGAAGCGCCAAACCTACAGGTCACGTGCTCTACCGCCACAGGGTGGCCTGGAGCAGAACTACACAAAACATACAAAATTAGATATTTTTCTTATTTTCAAATAGTTTTATTACCTGACCCTTCAGATATTGTTATAATGCTACCATTCTATATATATGGTGATCCATAAAAAAGGCCATGTTGGTTCCCACTTCGTTCGTGACTTATAAATTTACAATTTTCTGAGAGCTCCGATTTGGTCCATGTTACCGCTGCAACTTAATTCCGAGTCCGTGAACAGCTCCGAGTAGAACGTCACGTGCTGTCATCTCGAAATTACGGTAATGATGGATGGCGTGAACACAACAAAAGTTTAAACGAACAGCATTTAAAATAGAACTCTTTTGTAACATTATAAATGTATTTACTGTCATTTTTAATCAATTTTAATGCATTCTTGCTGACTAAAAGTATTACTTAAATTTTTACCAATCCCAAACTTTTGAAAAATAGTATTGAAATGAATATGCTACACAAAAATGCGTAAACTATATAGCATCTTTAAGGTTCATTAACTAATAGCAGAATAGCACAGAAGCCATTTAAAATAACTAGTCACTTTTGGTATTTCAAATCACATTTGCTGAAGTTGTGTCCCAAAGTGATTTAAAAACTAGTTATTTTTACACACATCGTGTAACTACAATTTTCAATTAGAAAAATATTTGATAGAGTGGATGAAATAACTGGACGAGTTGACCAGGCAGAACATCTGACAAATTGATGAGGAAAACCAGACAAATCACATCTTGAATTCATACAAAAGTACATTTTATTTTCACAAATTAAAAATAAAAATCAACAATAAGTCCTATAGAGAAAACAGTCAAGAGGGAAAAAGCTAATTTTCTAAATCCAGTTTGGTTTGTATGCGTGTCGTGTTCATGTTTTCCAGTGTAGTTAATGTCCATATACATTTATATATATCTGCGTCTGCAGTCGTTTCCTTCACAAAACTCAAAAGCTGTGAAACTGTGAGGACTTGGTGAAAACAGATAACTGTAAAGTATAATCAAAGCAGGAAATATGTCATACCAATTCTCTAACACATTTACAACTTGCGTGAGAAGAGAACGTACAGAAAGAAAATGAATAAAAAAATGTCCAAAAACCTGTTTTAACCTGCCGTTTCAAAACGCAGCTTTCCGAGGAACGTGTGAAACGCCACCTTCCCTTACTGCTATTCACATTCATAATAAACGTCTACATCTACAGCTTACAATGAGTGTGAGAGCGAGAGATTTCACAGCAGTGGGTGAGAATATAATGCCAATGTGTGTCTTGATGGCAGAGTTGAAGAATGTGAAAGTGGATGGAAAGTACAAAAAAAAAAAGGAATATTATAGAGAAAGTAAAAAAAAAAAGAAGCACAATTAAGACAGTTGGGCAGGGAAAGGGAAACAGAAATACAAGTACACACAGGGCTCCACTTCCTGTTGAGAGTGCTTGCGTCCTAAGGACACAGGAAGCTCACAGGAAGTAGTCAGCAACTGGCTTTTTGGAGGGAATGCCTCTCGTTTCTTGTGGAGCAGCTTCGAATATGATGAATTCTTTCTGCAGGTGCTCGTCAAGCTCCAAGATTGCCGCCACATTACCACATCTGTGACAAAGAAAAGGGGACATCACTATGTTAAATAATTACAAATAGAGTGTGTGCGCGTGACATCACCATCGACCGCAGTTACTCACAGTGAGTGGCAAAAAGACTGAGCGGCTGTATTAGTTCAGCGTGAATGAATGCCGCGAAAAACAAACACAACACATATAAAGTGGGAAAGAGCTTTGCGATTGACAGTACAACTAGATTTGACAAAAAAAAAAAAAAAAATATCCGAGGTATATTTTTACAGACTGCTATAGAAAGAGGAGCAAATGGATCGCTGCAATTCACAGAAACAACTGGACTCCAGTCAGCGAAAGGTGGATTTGCAGTTATCATTGTGTGTCAATATGCTGAATTTAGCTGTAAAACCACACCCATATATTTTGTATAGTTATACATATATTTTATATATATATATATATATATATATATATATATATATATATATATATATGAACAACTCATCAATTAAATATTTATCATTGCATATTCTGCATTATTGGATGTAATAAACACTGACCAAAAAAACTATAAAGTTTTATGGCTGGACGATATGATGATATATATAACACTGATATAAGTGATCACACGGATTTAGACCTACCTATATTGTATTTATATAAAGCGTTCACAAGCAAATTTGCTTTATGTTTACTTTAGGTCTATATTGCTTTTATTTCCACAGTGTGGAAATCAGGCAAACATAAATGTCCGGCAACACGATTCCTGGCTACATCCATGGATCACCGGATCTTTAGTAAGTTGTAAGGAACACTATATTGAGTCCAACATTTAGTTTAAACTGATAAAATTGTTCGTTTTAGTTGCATTTTCGCAGTTTCCCCTATTAAATCCAGTCACGCAGCAGATCTTTTGCCACTCAGTCAGGCTGAGGGGGTTTGTTCTGGCGGGAAAGTGACGTCAATGCATTCCCTCTATTATATATATATATATATATATATATATATTTTTTTTTAAAGTTGAAATGAAAAATAAAACATTGAAAACGACTACTAAAACATTACTCACATTCAAGGATTTCACTAACTTACTAAAAACTGACGTAGCAAGTCAATAAATAAACACACAAACCAAACTATGGCGAAAAAGACACTAGAAAAAAAAAAAAAAGCTATTGAATAAAAAAAATAAACTTTTTTACTTCAACAATTTGCCAAGGAAATGTTTCTCATTTTCAGTTAGTCTAACTTGATGCACTGAAAAAAGTAAAAACTAAAACTATTAAAATATAGACATAAAAAAAATAAAATAAAAACAAGATGCAATTACTTAAACTTTTAAATAAAAAACAAATTCAAAATGTCAATAAACACTATAATGTAGGGGTGATACACGATACACGTATTCATATTGAACCGGTTTGGTTTTCAGTACGCATTTTTAAACCGAACGGTTCGTTCGACCATTTTTCCGGCCGACCGACAGTTCGTTATTTAAAATGTAGGCACGTCGCGCGTGGCAGGCGCGCTCATAGATGCTAGCATGACCACAACATTGCCCAACATCAAATGGCAAATGTAATGTAAGCGAAACGAAACTGAGCTACTCGTTATTGTGTGGTTGACGGACCATTTTTCAGTTTGGACCAATGCAGCGGGAGCCGATCTTAAAAGTCCCCGTGAACCGGAAGTTGCAAACGAATTTTCTCCAGTGTTGTGACGCATTTTTTTCAACTAGCACCTGATTGGATCAAGAAAAATGGTTTCATTCTGAAATAGAGGATGACGCAAGTTTACACACGCTGTCAATCAATGCTCGTTTGGCACTCGCAAACACACAGCAGCTGTCAGTTGGAGGGGCGTGGTTATGGATGTTAAGGAGACACCCAAACCATAAAGCCTATGTCATCGGTCAAGGTCCTCCAATGCAGAGGGGAGGGGCATTTTCAAAATTTGATTAAAGATTGCGAAGCCAAAAATTTTTTTTGTGTGGATTGACTTGCATGTATGAATTGTTCACCACAAAACGATCAATTTAGGCAAACAAAGTAAGTACGGTCAATTTTGATTTCATGGGGACTTTAATCATCAGCACTGTTACTACACAGCCAAATCCAGTAAAGAAAGCATTTGAATTCACCACTGAAGTAAACATCGCTGCGAGATCTAGTGAGAAACATTCACATTTCTCCGTTATTAACGGATCGAACAGCGCTGACGTTGAAACCAGGAACAAACATTGTGCCATGAATGAACTATCCAGTGTCCACAGATCAGCAACATTCACCATAGATTTACTGTATAACACTACTAACTGTAACCATGGAAGATTGGCAGGAACGGTAGGCTATAATGCTTTCAAGTAACATCACGTCGGTTTTATTATACATTATGAATAAAATTGATTCCCTCAAATGTTAATCTGAACTAACTAAACCTTTATTTATAACTACAATATTACATGTCATTTTGTCCAAGGAGCTGTTTTGTTTTATATGATCCTGAGAAAAGTCAAGTATAGCTCCATCATTGCTCAAAGTAAAAAAAAAATTAAAAAAAAAAAATCATACTTTATGATGTTAGTTTTAATAGAAATATAATTTTAAAAAAAAATCATATCAAGGACATTTCTCTTGCATTTCTTTCTTTTTGTTATATCGAACCGAACCGGGAATTTTGTGAACCGTTACACCCCTACTATAATGGTAACACGGACCCATCTCTACTCTCAGCACTGTGGGACATGACCCACCTGTAGCAGTAATTCGGAGCGGACCACACAGTGAGAACAGTCTCGTTGAAGTGCCACTTGTACCCTTCCATGACAAGCTGGTGCGCCCTGCAAATCATGTCGATGTCGTTGGCGGCGTTGAACTGGGCCACGACGTCACTGCCGAACAGATATCCGGCACCTCGCGGACTGACGCCCCAGCCGGTGGTGTCTGAGCCAGACGGGATACATGCATATAATGAGATGATGATGAAGCACATATCTGCGCTATTCAAGAAATCAGAATTACCTTCAGGATCAGACCACAAAAGATCACACATGGGCCCGTCATGAGGCACTTCCTGTTTCCTGTCGATGGTTCTGATCTGGTCCAGAGTCTGGATTGAGGGCGACAGGCCTCCGTGTACACAGAAGATCTGGAGGGGGTCGCAAGATGAAAAACCAATCCAAGTCAGGCCAGTGTTAAGGAAACAAGAGATAAAGGGCTAGTTTACCCCCCAAAATTCGATTCGATTTACATTTTTTGGTTGAACTATCCCGTTAACAACCAAACAAACAGAAAGACTCACTTTTCCATCAATGATGGCGGAGAGGGACAGGTAGTCGAAGATCTCAGTGCAGTACCTCCATACCGTGACCGAGCCGTATTTTCTCAAACACTCATCGTAAAAGCCGTACACCTGTGTGATCTGTCTGGACTCGTGATTTCCCCGAATCAGGGTGATTCTGTCTGGATAACGCACCTGGAGGAGCCAATACACATGAATGAGGTTCGATTATAACAGCATCATGTTTCATTACAGACGTCCTATGAGTAACACAATGACAATACCTTGAGGGCAAGAAGTAGCAGAAAGGTCTCGACACTGTAAAACCCTCTGTCCACAAAATCTCCCATGAAGAGGTAGTTTGTTTCTGGAACGTCGCCTCCCACCTGAACAGATTTTTAAACACCAATTTATTGATCAATTACTAATAGATTAGTCAGTATATTCTAGTTTACTCTCACCATGTCATCCAAGATGTCCATGTCTTCTTCAGTCGAAAAGAAATTAAGGTTTTTGATGAAAACATTCCAGGATTTTTCTCCATATAATGGACTTCAATGGGAACCAAACGGTTCAAGGTCCAAATGACAGTTTCAGTGCAAACTGTTCAAAGGGCTTTAAACGATTCAAGACGATGAATAAGGGTCTTATCAAGCGAACAACTAAGCATCAAAATGAACAAATCTTTTCCCTAGTCAACTCGTTCATTTCGTTCGTTGAATGAACCAAATGACACGGAAAAAAGATTCGTTCATTTTGATAAACGAGTTCGAACAGGAGAGTCACGAACGCGCATCACAGAACAGAGCAAGGCGAGCATTTGAGCTTATAAAACGTAAACTTTTTTTTTTAAATGAGCGATCGTTTTGCTTAAGACCCTTAATTCATTGATAATTCATCGTCTGAAATCGTTTAAAGCCCTTTGAACAGTTTGCACTGAAACGGTCTTTTGGACCTTGAACCGTTTGGTTCCCATTGAAGTCCATTATATGGAGAAAAATCCTGGAATGTTTTCATCAAAAACCTTAATTTCTTTTCGACTGAAGAAAGAATGACATGGACATCTTGGATGACATGGGGTGGGTGAGTCAATTATCAGCAAAAGTTTTTTTAAAAGTGAACTACTCCTTTAACTGCACCACTGATTTGATTCCAACTAAGGGTACATTTACACAAATGGAAAAAAAGTCATTTGTATTTTTTGACAATGCAGTCAAAATGACCCTGTTCACACAGATCCGTGAAAACAACTACAGCCGCTGTGTTTTGTTGCCAGGCCAGTAGTTGGCGCTGTCCCTTTGTAAAGAAATGCTATGAAACAGAGGCTGCATCTTCCTGCCTAATCAGGCAATGACTTGAGCTAAGTTTCCACCACAAGAACTTTACCAACACACAGTCCCTAGTTCTTGGGGACTCAGTGTGTTTCCATAAATATTTCCCCTTCAGGAAGTCCCTGCTTGCGACATTAGGGCTGGGCAATATGGCCAAAAAAAAAAAATATCACGATAAATTTTTTTTATATCAGTCGATATTAATATATATATATATATATATATAAAATTTCCATGCACTGCTTGGCTTTACTTTTCATGAAAAATAACTTACCCTAAACAATTCTTTCAGGTCATAAAACTGCCCATGGATATCACCACACACCTGAAGAGAAGAAAGCACTTTTTACTTCTCATTTACATGATCACATCATTCTTAATCTTGAAATCATTGAAGATATGAAACATTAAAGATAAAGAATGCACCGTATCAAATCTTTTGATTTTAATAATGTATTCGTAAGTGTTGAAATTAACATTAAATATTGATAAATGACTAAGAAGTACTTTTCATTCTTAGTTCATGTTAACTAATGTAGTTAACTAATGTTAACAAAGGGAAACTGCTGTAAAGTGTCTCCTCTAAGCAGCGATTGCAGACACTTACTGTTACAGGCGAGTCCACCCTCTGTACGTTACTCTCTTCCACGAGAATCTCTCTGGAACACACAAACATTGGTGTCGTATGAGCTTATGATCAACATTAAAAGGCTTTTTAAAGCGACTGGTTTGTTTTCTACTGGTTGTAATCACCTGGCTTTGGCACACAGGGCTTTGACCTCATTTTCCTTGATGAGCTCACACCTCCTCAGCTGGTCGATCTGTCTGTCCAGATCACTCATGTCACCCATGGTGGATCGCGGAGACCGTCTAGCTGTTTCCCCCTCACACGAAACCCGTGAATACAGCTACTGTAGGACTAACAGTGTCTCTCTGTGCAATCCAAACACAGACACATGCAAACAGACACACACACACACCAGATGAAGAGACGTGGAGAGGTGGCGGGACCAATCTGGGCACGGAAACCTGTTAGGAGTAGAGAAAAATAGTTTAATACGGTCAATTTAACTATACTATATCTTTCTCTTGTTCAAGTGATGAAAAGACTGATGTAGTGATGAAGTTCATTAAAAAAAAAATCTTGTAGATCTGTGACAACTTTAAAATATTAAAACGATTTTTCAATGGGCTTGGTTTCAGAAATATTCATTTTAAAAGAGTTGTAAGCCATGAACCAAACCAAACAGCTACGAGGAGGATCACAACATTATAAACTTTGACTTTGCAAAAAAAGTTAGAAAATTGAACAAAAAGATAAGTGCAAATTGCAAGACTGTAAACTTAAATGATTTAATAATGAGGAGAAAGAACCACAATACTATGAAGCATGGCAAATGACAACTGAAGGATGGAGAAATTTAAAGATGTTGGTTGTGTAGATTGAAACTTTTTTTTTTTTTTTTTTTGCAGAATCATGGGTAATGTTAGCCTGGTTAAAACCAGAAGTAGAGCCAGACCGATATATCGTCAGACCGATATTATCGGCCGATATTAGGCATTTTCCAAACTATCGGTATCGGCAGTTATAATGGCCGATAAATCAATATTTCAAAAATAAAATAAAAACAGACGAAACACGCTTGAACCATGTCATGAGTGTTGGAGTTGTATAGTTTGTCCACCAGAGGGCACTCTACACCATTCCTGTTGGCAACACTTGTTGAGTTGGTCATGATACATACATTGCTTGAATAACAATTAAAAGAACATCCCCATCAGTTCTCTTAACTCAAATAAGCATGACAAAATTTGTGATTATCATGTCCAGTTTCAAAAAATAAATAAATAAAATATCGTCCGATATATCGGATTTTAAAACCCGGTATCGGCCTTCAAATTCCTTTATCGGTCGGGCTCTAGTTGCAAGTGAGTTATGGTCTGGCAAAGCGTCATAGACAAATCATTTCCAGAGGGACGTCACCAATTGACGTTGCGTGTAACCAATCAGAGCGATGAAGGAGATGACGTATGCAGAGCGGCAGAGAAACATCTCAGAGTGTTGTTCTTTGCACGGTTTTTAACAAGAAGGAAACGTTCAAATCGCTTAAAACAGACGCGATAGCTGATTCGAGCGAGTGATGTTAAACATCCATTGTAATGTAGGCTACAAAATCCGCTTCAAAATCCCAGCGCTGTCGTCATCGTGTAAATCCCAGCCCAGCGTTTCTAATTGGTGCCTCGATTTTGACGGATTGGAAATGGGCTTGAATGAGCTCTTTGCCAGACTAACTTTCAGAGCAAATCTAAATTTGCCGGAAGTTGTCTGGGTTTTCCCAGGCTAGGGTAATGTAGTTTTTACCAGATACTCTGCTGTCATTAGGGTTGGGTATCGTTTGAATTTGAACGATTCTGATTCCGATTCCTTGTTTCGATTCCAGTTTCTAACGATTCTCGATTCCGATTCTTTTAAGAGGCAGGGTCAAAAAAGTTTAGCTAACCTTGCTAACCAACGGCCTTTCTGAAGGAAATACTCCTTCTGTAAAAATACTCCTTTTGTTGATTTCGTTATTTTTAGAAAAGTGAAGCCACACTTTGGATCGCCGACGTAAGGTACTCATGTTCGACTCGCGTGGTTATGCCAACACTTCCGGTAGACGCTTCTTCGTTGGTGTTGTTCAGCGGTTTCTTCTTCCGCTCGGCGGACTGTGAATATCGAAACTAGGAATCGAAATTTTAACTTTTGAACGATTCCGGGAAAAACGAAAAGTTAGTCTCGGTTCCAATCGATACTCGATTCTCGATAGATACCCAACCCTAGCTGTCATGTATTAGTATTTGAGTTTATTGCCATATCAGCATCACCGGCTAATACATGGCAGGTACATATTGAACATTTAACATGTCATAAATAAAACTTTGTCTTGATAAAAAGCTCTGTCTCATAACATTAAAAATTGGGCAGTGCAAAAGTATATAGTTTTATAGACAAGTTGCTGGTACAGGACAATTTATACTTCTCCGCAGGGTGCGCGCAATAGGTACGGCGTAGCATACGCACAGACGCGTACCATACCGCATACCCTTCGCCGTAGCATGACGCGCACCTCCTCAAAAATGTAACTACACGTCGCGATGATGTGGACCGCAAGATCTGTGATCGGTTGGCTTGGTAGCATCCTCCTACGCATTTCCGCACGTACCATCTCCTCCGTCCTCTCTCATTTCTGCCTTTTAGTTTTAGTAATTTCACTAAAATTAGCTGTTTTTCACCTCAATAAGCTCCAACTCCAACATGATCCGCTCTCTTTCAGTCGCTATTGCTTGTAGTAACCTAGCCGCGAGGAATCTAAACACTAGAGCCCGACCGATAAAGGATTTTGAAGGCCGATACCGATACAAATATTTTTGGGTTTTAAAATCCGATATTCCGATATATATCGGCCGATGTTTTATTTATTTATTTATTTTTTTAAACTGGACATGATAATCACAAATTTTGTCATCACCCATTTGAGTTAAGAGAACAGATGGGGATGTTCTTTTAATTGTTATTCAAGCAATGTATGTATCGTGACCAACTCAACGAGTGTTGCCAACAGGGACGGTGTAGAGTGCCCTCTGATGGACAAACTATAGAACTCCAACACTCACGACATGGTTCAAGCGTGTTTCGTCCGTTTTTATTTTATTTTTGAAATATTCATATATCGGCCGATAATATCGGTCTGCCGATATATCGATCTGGCTCTACTAAACACAGTGGAACATTAAAACCCTCCGCTGCCAACTAGCGTCTCGGAGCAGTACTGCAGAGCAACCAAGACCTGAATGCAGAAATATAAATGCTCACGACGGCATATCCTTCGCTGTACACTACGGCGCAAGTTATCCTTGACGCAGAAGTATAAATTGGCCTTAACTGCAGTATTGATATTTCAGTGATTCTTCAACCTTCAATAAATACCATGGTCATGTGTGTCTTCATTTAAAAGGGTAGAGAACTTTTCCCAATCACAGAATTTATTTATAATAATTTGTGATTTTGACATTATAACCATTCTCCTCGCCATTTCTCTAATATATAGCCTATTGGTTGATTAAAGGATTCATGTCTGAGGATGGGATTTAATTCTGCTGTCAGAAAATATTATTAAAAACCCCATGTTGAAAGGACGGGCCGGCTTAAAATTCGCAGTAGGTCGGGCTTTAATTGTTGCGATATATTGCTTAAACCAATCGCGTGCGTTGGAGGCGGGACTAACTTGTTTGTTCAACCAATTGCAAACGGGGGACTGTTTGAAAACCTGTTTATTTTGCCATACCGTGTGGTGATAGTAGTAACGCAGACTCTTGTTTTAGGTTTAACTGGCTTCTAACCGCGAGTATAACATTATTCAACGCAAATGACGTCACAGTATGACGTCACGAAAAAAGAGGCCAACAAAACGCTATTTAATCATTTTAGACTTTCTGAAAACAGTTACAAATGTTTAATGAGGGAGTAAAATCTGAATATAGTATGGTAGTAATCATCGTAACCAACAACGTCATGAGAGGAAAAATAATTAGTGAATGAGGTCAATGGCCTTTGGTAGAGAAACCTGCTGACTATGCAGCATAACTCAAGTTAAACAAGTTCTCATTTCACAGTCATAAATTACCATAATAATTTAAAAGTCAAACGAGTAAAACTAATCAAAAACGGGTAACGTTACATTCAAATCACAATAGGATGACAGTTCAATTTGGTTTCTACTTTAGCCGAGCGTTACCAAAGCTCTGTTTAAAATATAACGTTAAGCTAAAACATCATTTTAAAAATCTAAAGCCTTTCTAATCCTATACGTTGTCATAATTAATATAGGTTCTACATAGCATGTAATAACTTCTTGGCTTGGTTCGTTTAACGTTACCTAATGTGACGGCGATTTAGACTGGCACAACTTTCCTGAAAACTCCCTATTGAATTAAATAACCTCTAAACAAGTATGATAAACACACCACCGATAATTATTAATCACCACAACGTCCTAATGTCAAACTCGACCACAATTTCTAGCCACAGGCGAATCAATCTGGAATTAGCTTAGCTAACTAGCCTGAGCAGCTAACGTTAACGTTAAAGGCCTGAGAAAATGAGCTCATCTGCCGAGACATCTGCTCAAATACACGTCCAGCTTATGCTTCTTTACCGCTTAAACCACAACAGAGTTCAAGAAATATACGAGTGGGACCTACCTTTAATCACTCCGATCAGATTCGTAAAAATAGAGCAACCAAAAGAATATAACGTCAGTTCGCTTTTTAGGGCTTCCACCCGGCTCGTCGCCGTCGGTCTTTTTCTTCCACCACCCTCTACCGGCGTCAAGCGCCTCCCTTTTGGAAAGCCACACATATGTGACGTCTGCTGCTCCTAGTGGCGTACTAACATTACAGCTTGACTCTCTCCTGCCTCCTAGTGGCGTACTTACAAGCTAATGACTCTCTGCTGCTCCTGGTGGCGTACTTACATTACAGCAAATTACTCTCTGCTGCCCTCTAGTGGCGTACTTACAATATTACAGCTAACGACTCTCTGCTGCGGTCTAGTGGCGTACTTACAATATTATAGCTCTAATGACTCTCTGCTGCGCTCTAGTGGCGTACTAACATATATTACAGCTAACGACTCTCTGCCGCTCCTAGTGGCGTACTTACATTACAGCTGATGAATCTCTCCTGCCTTCTAGTGGTGTCCTTACATTACAGCTAATGACTCTCTGCTGCGCTCTAGTGGCACACTGACATACTGTTTATGACAGCCAATGATTTTTTTTATTAGAGCTTTTCAACATTTAACAATAGCCAGGTGGTATATAAAGACAACATAGTTTTAGAGAAAAAAATACAATAAATAAATAAAAACTTAGATGAAAATATTGAGCTTTTTTATTTTTCAGATAATAAATAGTCTTTTAGGTATTGCTAAACTTCTGATTCCAAAATTAAAAATAGTGGTTTATGACCACCATACTTACATTTATGTCAACGACATTTTGCCATCCGAAGTAACAAATCAAATATTTTTTCTTACGGAGAGACATGTTATGAAAAAAGATAAAAAGCCAGATAATACATTTTCAAAACAAAGTTGTAAAGGTGGGCATGACATGATCTCTAACAAATAAGCAGAAATCTGTTTGAAAAACTGCAAAATAAATGAAAAATGTTTATGCATGTAGATCACAAAATGTACAAAAAGTATGTCAATATCACAATTGAATCCAACGATGCCCTCTAGTGGCGGAGTTATCAAAAATAACTTGATCAATATAAGAACTGTACAAATATTAAAGCATTTTTTCTTCATATTATTATTTATTCTTTTTTTTTTTAAATTTTGTATGCCTACAACATTTTTTCCTCATACTTGTTTTTCTTCAAATATAAATAAATACAAACAATAAAGACTTACAAGCTCAGTTAAATGATTGAGAACCCCCCCCCCCCCAAAAAACAAACAAAAAAAACAACCTTTTAACAACATAACTGAAGTAAAATGAAACGTGCTACAGCTGCGTACTCGTGCAAATTTCATGTAGCATTTACCAGGCTGCATAGTGCTTGAATATGACAACAGCTGACAAATAAAGAATAGATGAAGAATGCCTTTGAAAATCATGATGTAATGAAATGTATCACTCCTTAACAGGCTTTTTGAGTTTGTTTTTGAGTTCCGCCATCATCAAGGGACTCCCCATGCTGCACAACACAAAACACAGAAAAAACGTTAGTTCTTTATTTGTGAAAAAAATAAAATAAAATTAAGAATTCAGATTGATATTTCAGGCCATACCCAGGATGCTTCGGGGGTGTCCATTTGGGTTTAGCTGACGCCGGCTCTCGTTTGACAGAATCCTCTGTTACTGCAACTGACTTTAGCTGAGAAAGACACCGTAATAACACTACACATCAACACCTAAAATAACTATACAAATATTTAAGGCCTAAATTTAAGATTTATGCAACTGAATTGTATATAAAATGTCCACTCATTTGGATAAAAATGTACAATATGAATAACAAACTTAATTTGTCAGTCACAAAATTGAAATTGATATGAAATTAATGGAAATGAAATGGGTAAGATTTCTGTAAAAGTACTAATAAATTGAATGCGTTTTAAATGCACAATAACCAGGTTTACATATTAATCACCAATAAATCCAATCTGTCAATCTCATACATTTTAACTAACTAAATGTTGCTTGGTCCACAGCTAGCCATATTTTACCCATGTTCATACTTTTGAACTGAATAATTTGAATGAATGCATTTCGAAAATTTGATCATTTAAATAAAATCAATTGATTGCCAACAATGCAAATAGTTAAGAAACAGAAATCTTGCTGTTTCTGGTTTCATTTATCTACGAATATGCATCTCATTAAGTTTCTTACTTCATGTAAAAACTGTGTGATACAAATGGGCAGAAATTTTATATGCAATTCAAATACATAAATCTTAAATATCCACCTTTTTCTGCGCCCGTTTTATTTCCCATGATTCCTAGCGGGTTCAACTGACTAAACGGTTTTCTACTTCCGGATGAAGTATTTGTGTTTACATAGAATGCTAGCACTCTAGTCCAGACATTAGAAACAAATAAGTCTACACATGTGTTTTATACTTAATATGAGCGAAATACCAACCTGATCTCACGGGAATTCGTACGAAATTTACGAGGTGGCTAATTCGTAACAATTCATACGACCTCACTCGTACAAATTAATACGATTTTGCTAAATCGTACATATTTTACGAATTGGCCAATTCGTATGAATTCGTACGAATGACCTACCCCTGACCCCGCCCCTAAACCTAACCATCACGTGGGTTTAGACAAATCGTACGAATTCGTACGAGTGAGGTTGTACGAATTAGCCACTTTTTAATCACTCGTACGAATTCGTACGAATTGGTCGTGAGATAGGGTAGGAAATACACATAACACAACAAATCTTTAACTTTTAGGTGGCAAAATATTTTTTAGTAATTCTATGAATTACTGCGCAAAACAAAAGTAATAGCCTATTAACCGGATGAAGAAGGGTCCACAGAACATAAAATATTATTTTTATTTCATTTTTTGTGTTCGCATTTATGAAAAAAATCAAAACAAAACAAAGTTACGGACGTAAGAGTTCTCCATTTTGCACATGACCGCTCTGAAAGCCAATTTTAAACTTTCACAGAGATCTTAAAGAGAAACACAAAGCCTTTCTTCAAAGTGAATTTCGTTTTTTTATTTCAATAAATGTTTTATCAACCAATTACCCGGTTTTAATAAATAAGAAGGAAATATAGTAGAAAATAGATCATCATGACAGAGGCGCCGGCGCACAAACTGGACTCTGGTCTCATAAACGAACCGAAACTCGGCGTATAATGTAGACTACTCTCCTCACAATGCATCTTTGAAAGCAGAGGTAGACAAGAGTCAAAGAGCTAACCAGCCTAAGCTTATTGGGTTATTCTGCAGCAGTCGGGGTGATAGAAACTGTCGGATGTTCATGTATTGCTGGATTAGGGAGATCGTGCAGTCATACATCAGCTATCCTTTGGAAGTTATGAAGAAAAGAAAAATCTGTGATTTAATAAAAAAATAACGTAATCAGATCAAATTTGATGAATGTTTTTTTTCGATTTAGTTTAGCGATGTGGGGATGACATCTGAAACGCATAGCAAAAACGCATAGACCAGATTCGAACCGGAAATTGACAACCGGAGTCGTTATATGACGATATATATACAGTTATATGACGTCTTGGGATAAGACTGCGCCAGAAACATGAGTTTCACAGTCACACACGGTTTCTGTTATACCTGTGGATGTAGTGTGCGCTCGGCTTCTCCTTCTTCTCTCGCTTTCTTCCCAAATTCAGTTTTTCTCAGAGCCGGGAGCCCTGCGCCCAACCCTAAAAAATATATAATGGACTGATTTAATGTACTGATAAAATTGTAACGCACTTATCATGAAGGTTTTATTGAGGTCAGTATACCTGGGAGTTTGAATCCGATCACCCCTTTACTCGGGGCGGAGACTTCACATGCTGGAGGCTGTGGGAGACGCGGCTCGACTGAGATCTTGAACAGGAGCTTTCTGGGGTCTTTGGGTGGCCGAACTAGGGGATTCTTCACAGCAATTCGAGACTTCTGAACGCTAAAGTCCAAAGATGAGTCCTCAAATGCCTATGGATAAAAAGTGATGATAGGTTTAACTTTAGCCATGATGTAGGATCACACTTTACCTTCTATTATATAAATGCAGTCATCTTTAAAGGGTTAGTTCACCCAAAAATTAAAATTCTGTCTGTAATTCCTCTCCCTCATGTTGTTCCTCCAACCCCATAAGACTTTCATAACACAAATTAAGATATTTCTGATCAAATCTGAGAGCTGGATCACTCCTCCATAGGCTTCTAAGGGATTGAAACTTACCAGCCCAGAAAAGTTATTAAAGACATCGTTAAAATAGTCTGAGTGACTACAGTGGCTCAATCTTAACTTTATCAAGCGACGAGAACACATTTGTGCGCAACAAACAAACAAAAATAACGACTTTATTCAACTATTCATTTCCTTCTCTGACGTCACACGCATCCCACACATGACCAGCGTCGGCCAATAGTGAGCCTGCATGTGACGTACAACCTAGAAGCTTTGAGTAGTTAAACTCACTCAAGGCCCACAGAGAAGGAAATGCATAGTTGAATAAAGTCATTATTTTTGTTTGTTTTTTGAGCACACAAATTATTCTCGTCGCTTGATAAACTTAAAGGGTAATTCCACCGGTGGAGACATGAATATGGATTGAAAGTGGGTCATATATGTAGTAGAATAGTATCAATAAATAGAATAGTATCAACAGTAAAAAACAACTTGGGGGCGCTCAAACACAAAACGGTCTTGCCGAGTTAACACAGTCTCATCCCAAGAAGTCATATAACGGGACTTCTTTTGACCATACGTCAACATCCGCCTTTTTAGGGTACCCTTAAACGTCGATTACATGACGATCCGGGGCCGTCATACAACTGACGCTTTACCTTTAACGTCGGTTAGGTGACGGGGTAGGTTTAGGTCTAGGGTAGGGTTAGGATCTGATAACCTCATCTAACCGACGTTTAAGGGTACCCTACAAAGGCGGATGTTGACGTATGGTCAAAAGACGTCCCAAGACGTCAGTTATATGACGTCTTGGGATGAGACTGCGCTGGCCGAGTACACATACGTAACGGCGAAGAAGATGTATGCCTCGCCGTCTACACAGCCAGGAAGAAATAAGACGAGAAAGATGCAAGGCAAGATGAAGCTGGTCTCGTTGGTGTTAGAACATAAAGAAATATATGACAAACGTGACAGCGACTACAAACATCTTGATAAAAGAGAACTGTTATGGAGTGGTATTGCAGAGCAAATGGGCGCCATCTAATGCCAGGGAATGAATTTGCATGTTCTTTCATAACTTTTGGGCCGGCCAGTTTCGATCCCGTAGAAGCCTATGGAGGAGTGATCCAGCTCTCAGATTTAATCATAAATATCTTAATTTGTGTTCAGAAGATGAACGAAAGTCTTACGGGGTTGGAACAACATGAATTTTCATTTTAGGGTGAACTAACCCTTTAAGTCTTCTTAACTGAATAGATGATGTTTACTAACCATATAACTTGTATTATCTTAAAGCTGTATATATATCAACATTACTATTATGACAGATAACTGAATACCTCTTGACTGTAACATTGAAAACAAGCTGCATTGAATCAAAAAGCAGTAGACAAATCTTTTACTCAAAATATTTGATATTACCTGTAGATTCAAATCAAATGTTCCTTCTATCTTCACCACTGGAGGGTTCACTCTATCAAATCTTCTTTTCATCCCAGGTCTGCTGACTTCCATGAAGTCTTCATGACCGCTCGACTCGTGCATCTGATCGTGACGTCCATCAGCTTCATTTGTTTCACACTCTGGTGAACTTTGTGGCTCAATATGTTTAACAGCTTCACGACTTGCCTTTTCCACCTCCATTGTCTCCCCTAATAACTTCCTTCCTTCTTCAAGGACAAATGCATCAGCTGGCACTTGTAATTCAGGTCCTTGGTCTTCATCAATCTCAGCTTTCTCGTGATCATTCTGGTCAACAATATTTTTCTCATTTTCATCAATAAGATTTTCCCCTGCATGTCTTAAACCTCCACTGCTTTCTGTCTCTCCATGGTCCATCATGATCTCCTTTTCCTGTTCTACATCTTGTCTATAAAGCTCAGATTGGACAGTTACATCTGCATCATCTGGATCTTCGCTCTTCATTTGACACTTTTTATCCTCATGATTCTGATCACATTCTTCATCGATATCATCTTTTTGTTCAATCTGCCCAGTTTGATCCAACTCTAGTGCCGTTTCACTGTCCTTACATTCAATGTCTGCATGTCCTCTTTCAGCCTGAACCTCATTGGATGAAACTTCTTCATTCTCAACATGTGTGTCGCTTTCTGTGTCCCATGACTCCTGTAATTTAATCGTATCTTGTTCACTCTCGGTTGCACCCCTATTTTCTGGAATCATCTCTTCAACCTCATTTTTACAGAATTCGGCAATTTCATCACAATATTTTTCTATTACTTTTAGCCTTTCAGTATTTGAAAGGCCATCAGCTTCCTCTTCAAATGCATCACCTGGCACTTGTAATTCAGGTCCTTGGCCTTCATCAATCTCAGTTTCCACCCGTTCCTTCAGGCCAACAGTTTCTTTCTCCATTTCATCAATAAAACCTGCCTGTTCAAAACCTCCACTGCTTTCTGTCTCTCCATGGTCCATCATGATCTCCTTTTCCTGTTCTACATCTTGTCCATAAAGCTCAGATTGGACAGTTACATCTGCGTTATCCGGACCTTCTCTCTTCTTTGAACAGTTTTCATCCTCATATTTCTGGTCATATTCTTCATTGTTACCATCCTTTTGTTCAATCCGTCCAGTTTCATCCAACTCCTGAACAATTTCACTGTCCTTACTGTTTGCATACACTCTTTCATCCTGAACCTCATCGGATGAAACGTCTTCAGAACTGCTCCCTCCATGATCCGTCCCAGCACAAAGATAACTTTGTTGATCAGCTTCAGTTGTTTTGCACTCTTGTGAAATAACATCTTGCTCATTTTGTACAGCAACTTCCCTACTTGTGGTTTCCACCGCCATTATACTTCCCATTGTTTCACCCAATAACTTCCTTTCTTCTTCCAAAACAAATGCACCGACTGACACGCATTCTTCAGGTGCTTGATATTCTGCATCACCAAGTTCTTCTGTTGAAACTCCTTCCAAAGTTTCTGTTTCTTTTACCAAGTTGTTTTCCATTTCTATCATGTCCTTCAAGACTTGATTCGTTATTTCTTCTACATACTCTAAAGCGATCTTCGCCACATCTGTGTCCCGAGTCTCCTGCTCCTGCTCTGATTCGCCTTGAAGATCTAGAGTTTCCTCCAGGAACTCGGCTGGGCTCAAAGTCTGTATTAATACAGGTTTGGCATCTGTTTGGTCGTCTACAACATGTTGTATCTCTGCGGTTCCAGTGATTACAGAAACACCCGAATTTCCCAGTGACTCACTGAAAGTGTCCATTGCTTCTTGAGATGATTTGCGTTCTCTTTCTGTGAACTCAAGAAGCTCCCGTGTCTGTAAAGTGACATTTCTGATGTTTGATGATTGACTTTGTGTCTCATATGGTTCTGCTTCCTCGTCTTCGAAACAGATCTTTGTTTCTGTTGTTTCAACAATCAGCTCAGTTTTGAATTCAACACGTTTTTTAAGAGAGAACTTGGTGTTGTCTATTTCCTGATGTGTCTGACTTTCTATTGTACTTACAGATTCGATTGGAGTTTCAATGTCTTGTTCAATCTCCACAGCTTCCTCAACTGCTTTCGGTGTCTCGGGATGCTCAACAGAGCGTGCGACAAAAGTTTCATTTTCCGACTGCTCTTCTGCAAGACTTTGGGGCTCAGATTTGATCTCTTCAAAACATCCCAACGCAGTCTCTGGCCTTTTCCTCGATTCTCCAGGGAACTCACAAACAATCGGATATGAAAACATACCTTCAGTTTTTATGGCCATCACCACAGGCAATCCAGTTCCTGTTTCTGAAGTATTTTCTGGAGTATCCTGTTTTGAATCGAACTGCAGGGAGTCTTCTGATGTGTTAACGGTCATTTTCAGTTCTGTTTCAATGTTCAATATATTTATTTCCTTGGGAACTGTTTGCAGTGTTTCTGCTGACTCCTGCAACTCAGATTTAATCGTGTCTTGTTCACTCTCGGTTGCACCCCTATTTTCTGGAATCATCTCTTCAACCTCATTTTTACAAAATTCAGCAATTTCATCATCACATTTTTCAATTACTTTTAGCCTTTCAGTATTTGAAAGGCCATCAGCTTCCTCTTCAAATGCATCAGCTGGCACTTGTAATTCAGGTCCTTGGTCTTCATCAATCTCAATTTCCACCCGTTCCTTCGGGCCAACAGTTTCTTTCTCCATTTCATCAATAAAACCTGCATGTTCAAAACCTCCACTGCTTTCTGTCTCTCCATGGTCCATCATGATCTCCTTTTCCTGTTCTACATCTTGTCCATAAAGCTCAGATTGGACAGTTACATCTGCGTTATCTGGATCTTCTCTCGTCATTTCACACTTTTCATCCTCATGATTCTGATCACATTCTTCATCGTTATCATCTTTTTGTTCAATCTGCCCAGTTTGATCCAACTCTAGTGCCGTTTCACTCTCCTTACATTCAATGTCTGCATGTCCTCTTTCAGCCTGAACCTCATTGGATGAAACTTCTTCATTCTCAACATGTGTGTCGCTTTCTGTGTCCCATGACTCCTGTAATTTAATCGTATCTTGTTCACTCTCGGTTGCACCCTTATTTTCTGGAATCATCTCTTCAACCTCATTTTTACAGAATTCGGCAATTTCATCACAATATTTTTCTATTACTTTTAGCCTTTCAGTATTTGAAAGGCCATCAGCTTCCTCTTCAAATGCATCACCTGGCACTTGTAATTCAGGTCCTTGGTCTTCATCAATCTCAATTTCCAACCGTTCCTTCGGGCCAACAGTTTCTTTCTCCATTTCATCAATAAAACCTGCCTGTTCAAAACCTCCAATGCTTTCTGTCTCTCCATGGTCCATCATGATCTCCTTTTCCTGTTCTACATCTTGTCCATAAAGCTCAGATTGGACAGTTACATCTGCGTTATCCGGATCTTCTCTCTTCTTTGAACAGTTTTCGTCCTCATATTTCTGGTCATATTCTTCATTGTTACCATCATTTTGTTCAATCCGCCCAGTTTCATCCAACTCCTGAATAATTTCACTTGCCTTACTGTTTGCATGCACACTTTCAGCTTGACCCTCATCGGATGAAACCACTTCTTTCTCAACATGCGTGCCACTCTTGCATTCTCGGCTTTCTGAATCACCTGAAATGCTCCCTTCATGATCGGTCCCAGCTGACCACATTGCACAACTGTAAGTTTGTTTTCTTGCGGTGTCAACATTCTTGTCGTCTTTGACCACATCAGTTTTTTCCCACTGTACCGAGGCCACTTGCACTTTGACTTTTGCAAGGGAACACTTGACCTCCCCTGTGCTTTTGTCATTATGACTAGATATATTCTCTTCCTTCTCGCTACTGTTTGCCTTTTCTTCTCTGTTAATCTTGTTTGCTGCACTCAAGTCAATCTGATCTGATCTGGAACATACTCTTTGGTTTCCTTCATCTGTGACTTCCGGTCTTAGATATCTTGCAACAGCCCCTGACAGATAACCCTAAATCAACAAAACATTGAAAAAATATGACTCATTAAAGATACCTAATGACTCATCAAGATACAAATATAATTGTTTGAAACATACAGATACAGTCAATCGTAATCACACAGACTATATAGTCATCATTATTCAGAACTTAATCAACAAAACTCGTTGATTGCATGTGTACTCACCCAAACAGTCCAAATAGTGCGACCAATGCGGTTCACCGGGGATTCAGGCGCATCCATAGCTGATTAAATGAAAAATTATGAAGTGTTGACAGATCTATGAAGCTCCTTCGAAGTTTGATATGATTACGAATTCTTCACAACAACATTCAGACCATTACGTGTCCTTTTTAGTAAGTGAAGTCTTTTAAAGGAAGTTGGTGACTGTCTGACGGAGCTCGCATCTGTTTAGTTCGTGATGCTCATATGTCCGGCGTTTAAATGAGGAAGACGCGTAGTGTGAAGCTGTATTAACACCAGCAAACACACAAGCACAAAGTTGGTTTGTGGTGACTGGTGAGAAAAAAGTAAGAGCCATTGAGCCTGGCTGTCATGTCCAACCACACATCATTTCTGTGAACACTTCTCTAAAGTTTACCGGATGTGTGTCAAATCCTAGTGAGCTGCCTAAATAGACTGCATGTTAACAGGCGCGTTGTGCATTTTAGGGCGCTACAGGCGCGTATTATTGTAGACGCGTGCAGCATTCGGACGTCATGGTTGAAATCATAATATTTAAGCACCTTAGGGTCAGAAAGTACCTAAAATGCTGTCTAGGCAGGAATCTCATTATAGGTTTTGAAACACAAACACATTTTCTGCTGCAACAGCTGCGCAACAAGTGCGAGCAGCTCCTAAAACTTCCGTCAAGATATTTCATCATATTAGCTTTAATATGTAGCAAATTATACGTTTGAACTTATGCCTTTGTTTATGATAGAAAACTAAAGCATTAAGTGGAGGTTTAATACAACTTCATGTGCACTGTTTGAATATGCACAAGTGTTGTGGTTGAGGTTTGACATCTGAGCTATAGGCTGCTGACTTGGACAAAATTAGTCACAGTGGTGCATTCATTCTTTCTTTCTCACAGTTTTTATTTTTTAAACAAACACATAGCTTAGGCCTCATTTTAAAGAGTTTATTTAATGAAAATGGATGGTAATTCAAAAGTGTTAAGTGAATGCTAAAAAGAGAGTGAAAAAAAGAGAAAATAAATATAACAGCAAAGGTACAAAGAATCAGGTTCTCAGTGATGGGTGGACGTCCAGAGAGGATGTAGATTTCGAAATAATCTTGATGGTCGTCAAGATGACACTTCCTCTGCAGGCTCTGCAAAACAACACAGAGAAGTAAAGTTCACCCTCTAATCTCGGCCCCAGATTGCAGTCTTCATCTCATGTGAGAGTGTACATCATTTTAAACATATTTGTCAACCGTATTGCACTGGAGTTCAAATGTTTAGAATAATTAATGAATTACTTTAATGCATCCTTATTGATCTTACCTCAAATGTCAAATACCACGGCTTCCACAAAACCAGTCTTCAACATTGATAATAATCATAAATGTTTCTTGAGCATCAAATCTCCATATTAGAATGATTTAGGATCATGGAAAATTCAGCTTTGATCACAGGAATAAATGATCCATTTTAATATATATTCAAATAGGAAACAGTTATTTTATATCACAATATTTGACTGTATTTTTGTCAGATAAATGCAGCCTCAGTGAACATAAGAAACTTACTTGAAAAACATTTAAAGGGATACTCCCCTTTTTTTGGAAATAGGCTCATTTTACCACTCCCCCAAAGGTTAAACAGTTGGGTTTTACCGTTTTCAGATGTATTCAGCCGATTTTCGGATATTTAGAAGAATATCAGTAACCAGACCGTTTCTGGTCTCATTGACATCCATAGTACCTACTATGGAAGTCAATGAGACCAGAAACGGTCTGGTTACTGATATTCTTCTAAATATCCGAAAATCGGCTGAATGGATTTGAAAACGGTAAAACTCAACTGTTTAACTCTGGTGGGGTTGTCAAATGAGCCTATTTCCAAAAAAAAAGTGGAGTATCCCTTTAATATTAAGAGTTAATTATTCCAAACTTTTGACCCGTGCATTGTAAAGAGCTAGGCATTTATAATTGAGTCTATTTGTGGTTTAATTTGACAGTATCTTGTAAAGTACTAACTTTACGCATGCACAGGACCTTGTACCTCAACAAAAAGCAAGAGACACATTATTCACCTGTCCAGGTAAGGTACGCAGGCGAGCGTAATGCAGGATGGGTAATCTCCACAGTAACTCTCAGACGCTCTCTCCTCTCTTTCCTCAATCTCACAGTGTTTATATATGATGGATCTATATCCTCATCATCATTCTCTTCCACGTGCTCATTCGGCTCAGGCTGTTTGTCTTCTTGCACTGATTTCATTCCTTCCACGCTTTCATTCATCTTTTCATATTCTGCATTATGGTCCACACTGGGTGGCCTGATTTCTGTAGAATAAGCCAAAACTTTGATGAGATTCAACCAGGCGCTCAGGTGAAGTATATCCGTGATAGGTGCTCTTAGGGTAGAGAAAGGATCCAATGAAACAACATGCAGGACAGGTCCCAGGCACCCAATAAATGGATAAACAGGAGAAGGCGAAGATTAAAAAGCCTTTATTGAAACAGGCTTATTTCATAATAAAAAAGTTACAAGCCAACATGTTTCGACCCATACGGAAGCGTATTGCATTCACTTGAAGAAAAAAAAAATCTACTCTGTTTTTCTGAACTAACGAGTTAATTTTTCATGAGAAAAAAAGTTTTTGCTCTGTTTTTCTGAATTAACGAGTTAATTTTTCATGGAATTTATTTATTTTTGCTCTGTTTTTCTGAATTAATGAGTTAATTTTTCATGAGAAAAAAAAATATTTTGCTCTGTTTTTCTGAATTAATGAGTTAATTTTTCATGGATTTTTTTTTTTTTGCTCTGTTTTTCTGAATTAACGAGTTAATTTTTCATGGAATTTTTTTTTTGCTCTGTTTTTCTGAATTAACGAGTCAATTCAGAAAAAACAGAGCAAAAACTTTTTTTCTCATGAAAAATTAACTCATTAATTCAGAAAAACAGAGAAAAAAATATGTTCTCATGAAAAATTAACTCATTAATTCAGAAAAACAGAGAAAAACTTTTTTCTCATGAAAAATTAACTCATTAATTCAGAAAAACAGAGCAAAAAAAATTTCTCATGAAAAATTAACTCGTTAATTCAGAAAAACAGAGCAAAAAAAAATTCTCATGAAAAATTAACTCATTAATTCAGAAAAACAGAGAAAAAATTTTTTTCTCATGAAAAATTAACTCATTAGTTCAGAAAAACAGAGCAATTTTTTTTCTCATGAAAAATTATCTCATTAATTCAGAAAAACAGAGCAAAAAAAATTTCTCATGAAAAATTAACTCGTTAATTCAGAAAAACAGCAAAAAAAAATTCTCATGAAAAATTAACTCATTAATTCAGAAAAACAGAGATTTTTTTTTTCTCATGAAAAATTAACTCATTAATTCAGAAAAACAGAGTGGATTATTTTTCTTCAAGTGAATGCAATACGCCTCCGTACGAAACATGTTGGCTTGTAACTTTTTTATTATGAAATAAGCCCGTTTCAATAAAGGCTTTTTAATCTTCGCCTTCTGTTTATCCATTTATTGGGTGCCTGGGATCTGCATGTTGTTTCATTGAAGCCAAAACTTTATTAAGGTTGTTCAAGATGCAGAGAATATTTCAGTCTACTCACCATAGTTACGGCGTGCTTGTCCTCCTCTGCGACTGCCACTTTCCTGTCGTCCTGTAGTCCTCACCAAAGCACAGACGCTCTTGAGCACGAGTATCCCCTCGCTGTTTTTTTCCTCTCTCTCTTTTGACAAAAGCTTGGAGACAGTCGTGCCACCAGCCGCCCAGAGCAGTTCCGGCACAGGCTTTCCTCCAGAGAGGAGAACAGAGAATATTCCCACACCATCCCTGCTCCAGTGAACCGACAAAGAACGAGGGATTGAGGGAGCAACTGAGAAAAAGACAGAGAAAGAAAGAGGTGTGAACATAAAATGTGTGCATTCTCCGATTGTGGTTGTCAGAGTGTTGCTTAATGGTTAAAGGGTTCTCAGTTGTTTTGAGTGTGTTGCTTTGTGGTTGCTTGGCTTTGCTATGTGATTGTGTCAAAAGAGCCTCTAAGATATTCCCCAGACAGCAAACTGACATTGAATCAACGTGGAAACGACGTCTCTCATGACATTGAAACAACGTTGATTTTGCTCATCGAATTAACGTTGAACCAACGTCAGACGCGGCATTCTTCAAAGCTAAATGAAAATCGAAAATTGGTTTGCTTTCATAACGTTGAAACAACGCGTTGATTTCAAGTTGATTTTCCGTTAGTTTTGAAAGAATGACGCGTCTGACGTTGGTTCAACGTTAATTCGATGAGCAAAACAATGTCAGATCAACGTTGTTTCGATGTCATATTTCCACGCTGATTCAATGTCAGTTTGCTATCTGGGTCTGGTCTTCCTTAGTTTTATCATCCAGAAGGTGAAAGTCTGATTTTTTGGAAAGTTAAAGGGGTAGTAAGACATTTCTGAGAAACGCTGTTAGGAGAGGTCAGCAGTAAGGGGTATAGATCATTTCACACTGGTCCAGAAGCACTTCCTGTTTCAGTTTTTTAACACTACATAAAAGCTGGGATAAAATACAACCAACAGAACATTTAAAACGGACTCAAAAAGTTAAACAAACATCTTTAAGATGTTTTCTTTACATGTGAAATAAAGTAAACAGTTACAAACTGAAACAGGAAGTGTTTCTGGACCAGTGTTGTTTACATCTTGTGAAATGGTCTATATCCACTTATGATGGGGGAGGAGAGAGAGAGAAAGAAGGAGATTTGAAGAAAGACTGTAGAAAGAGAGATGGCTGAGAGACATTACAAAATAGTGCTGTAGCGGCGCGTCGATGCGTCGACGTCATATTTTTGCGTCGACGCTTCTTTATTTATTTATTTTTTGCATGTTCCCGACAGCTTGCCACACACACGTGGGAGACCGAAACATTGCAGAATAGAGGACGAAGACAACTAGAAGTGAATGTGCTATCCATTAAATGAATCACACACAGTAAACAAACCCTTAAGAAAAAAAATTGCAATTTAGACGCGCAAACTGTGGGTGCCGGTGTGGTGAGACGTACTCGAGCAGATTCGGCTTGAAGTTGTTACCGGACGCGGCGCCGGGCGCGTTGTTACAAAAAAAGGCGTACACACAGCCAGCCACAGTCTTCCTGGTCTTGCGCACCCAACGGGTCATTTTTGCCGTGCGCACATTCGCACTCGTGCGGACGTGTCGAGACTCGAGTATAAACCAGGCTTTAACTCCGTGTCAGCGCGCGCTCTGATCAGTAGGTGAACTCCGCCTCCGACTCCGTTTCCCTCCTCAGCTGATATTAATATTTAAACATTCTCTATGATAAAAAATGTTTGTAAAAAATATTTTAATAACACGGTTTTGGCGGTTGTAGAGTTATGATGGTGTTCA